TTTCAGCAGTGTGTGGGTGGGACAGGTGGGAAAGATGGTTCCTGTCCCCCTGAAATATTAATTTATTCACCTTCTAAATCAGCACCCAACAGGCACGTGATTTATGAGATAGATTCATTGCCACTCCCACTATTCAGGATAAGCAACTGGTCTGGGCCATTTCATTCACTGCTTGAATGGTCATAAAAATATCCCTCCATAGCCATCGAGCCTGGTGACAAATGCCTTTAATCTCAGCACTTAAGAGGCAGAGGCAGACAGATCTCTGTGAGTTCAAGGCCAGCCTGGTATACAACTCGAGGCCAGGACAGCCAAAGATGTTGCACAAAGAAAACCTGTCTTACAAAGGAAAATAAGTCCCTCTATGGGGTTGGAGAGATGGCACGGGGTTGGTATAGAGGACTTGTGTTTGATCCCCAGTATCCAGGGAAAAGCTGGGTTTTATGTTGTTTATAACACCATGCTTGTAGAGACAACCAAATATCCGGGCTCCCTGACCAGCTAATCGAGCTAATAGGTAAACTCCAGGCCAATGAAAAACCCTGTAATAAAAACTCTGTCTCAAAAACCAGGACCCAAGGTTTACCTTCAAATGCATGCACAGCATGTGCTCACTCATCTGCAAGCATGGTCTCCCACACACACACGCACACGCACACGCACACGCACACGCACACGCACACGCACACGCACACGCACACGCACACGCACACGCACACGCGCATGAACACATATACACTTAAATAGAAATGAGGTGCACCTAGTCATACAAGGTAAAGTCTGAGGAGCAACAATTAGAAATGCCTTCCAGATACAAGTGAACCACAAAATAGTGGGTTGTCAGGACATTTGAAAACCTCCCCTACTGTTCTCTGAATGGTAGATGTAAAATTTCCGGGTTTTTTTTTTTTTTTCTTTTTCAGAAGGAGCTAAAGGATATCTGTGTGGCTGGGGAGAGGGCTCAGTCAGTAAAGTGTTTGCCTTGCAAACACGAGGACTTGGGTCCAATTCCCAGAACTCACATTTTAAAAAAAAATTTAAATAATAAAAATAAAATGCTAAGCATGGTAGCATGCACTTGTAAACCAGCTAGAGAAACAGAGGCAATCCACAGGCTGGTCCCTAGGGCTTGCTGCCCAGACAGTCCAGCCTACTTAGTGAGTTGCAGGCCAATGGGAGACCCTCTCTCAAAGGGGAGAGGGTTGGGCCCTGAGGAAAAACAGCCAAGATTGTTCTCTGGCCTACACACACTTACATGTGACGTACATATATACATGCACCTGCAATACAGAGACACACAAACAGGGACACACATACACACACACCAGTAAAGATGCCTCTAACAGCCTAGCAAATGCGCCAACAGAAATGTTTACCACTCCTAATTTGCTGTTACACAACATTTATTTGCTCTCACTGTGTGCCAAGGATCTGAAAACATGTTGTTGATTAATAAACAGTAATTAAGTCTCACCATCTCGGTCAGAGATATGGTTAGGTTCTGGGATTCCCCTTTGCAGGATACTAAAATGAAGCACAGAGGTTGAATGTATTTCCTGGGGTCTGACTTGAAGGTGCCTTAGACACACCCATATCTGCTCCTGACCCCCCTCAATTTCTTCTTCAATCCTCTTGATCCAGTCATCTCTCCCTGGGCCCCTAGTCAGTAAGGTCCCCCTAAGCACACTGACAAAATGGCTTGACCCTCTGCTTCTAACATTAAACCTTCTAGACTGTAAGGAAAAATACTGGATAAGATTGCCAAATACAAGATTACAAACCCTGGCTGAATCTTCCTCCGGGATTGTGTTTGTTTACTTTTTTTTTTCAAAAGCACAAGTTTCTGACAAGGATTTTTCTGCCTTAGGGTCTTGAAGGTGTTTGGTGAAGGTGTGGGGAGCAGGGTACTGGAGCTATTGGGCACAGAGTCCAGTTATTATTGTCAACACCTCTAGTCCCTACTAGATGTCACTATAAATAAGAGAAAAGTCTAGATTTAAAACCCACACAGAAGGAACAGAAAGTGACATCTACAGGAAGATTCAGACAGAGATCACTAGACTTGGCCCAGGGTGAGCCAGACGTTCTCAACTGGGAACCACTTCTAGCAAAGTCAGGGAAATGGTACACTGGCAATAATCCAAGAACTCTGAAATCTTTGCACATTTAGACAGCAAGTTGTTCCTAATTGTGGCTTATGTGCACCCTTATTGGAATTGGCTTTCCATATACTAAAAATGCTTTTTTAGATTATCTATAGTCTTGACATGTAACCCAGGCCTCACTTAGTAGGCAAGCACCTACCACTTGGCTATCCCCTACTCTCATGTTAAATGATCAGTTTTAGACTCTAAAGTAGCTCAACGGCCCTGAGGATCATGAAGGGCTGTTCATTCTGGAACTGGAAAGATGTCTGGGTCCGTCTGCCACACGAGCATGAGGAACTGAATTTGTATTCCCATCACCCACATAAAAGCTGGCCATGGCGGCGCTCATCTGTAATCCCAGCACAGTTGGATCCCTGAAGCTCCTCAGCCAGTGTTCAGTGTGAGACCCCAATTTTAAAAGGCAGACAGCGAAGGAGGGAGACAGTCAATGGTGACCTCTGACCTCCACATGCATTCACACACGTGCACACTCATGCCTCCTCTGCCTAGCTCTGACTATCATCTCCATCACTCAGTAGTTAGCTTGCTAGCTCACAGTCTCTCTGTTGCCCCATTCCTCATCTGAAAACTAAGGGTAACACTAATGTCATAAATTTAGTGTGGCAGCTAGATGGATTAATACACACAAGGAACATAGAATAAATGTCTAGTGCTTTGTATACCTTTAAGAATGCCACCATAGGCCGAGCAGTGATGGCACACTCCTTTAGTCCTAACACTTGGGAGGCAGAGGCAGATGGATCTCTTGTGAGTTCAAGGCCAGTCTGGTCTACAAAGCTAGTTCCAGAACAGCCATGGCTGTTACACAGAGAAACCATGTCGGGGGGAGGGAGGGAGAGAATGCCCCCATAATTGTCAATATTATTGTGTCACTCAACAGTTTTTATCTTATCATTTTATTTCTAGTACCATCCTAGGTACCCTGCCAGCACTACACCAGGGAGTTTCTGAATTATTTTCAGACAAATGGTCCCCTAAAAGGGAACCAGCTCACAGGAACACAGCTCAAGTCCATGAAGCTGTTCTGCCTGAGCTCAGGTCAGCATGAAGGCAAAGCTCCATCCTTCCGGAAATGGAAGCCTCTCCAGTCAACCCAAACAGCATGTTTCACAGCACAATCTGCTCAAAACCGGCTCCCTGAGCTCAGCAGCCTGCTCACTGCAGAGGTGCAGGTATGGTGTCGGGGCTTCGCCAGAGAAGAAAGCCTATGAAAAGATTGTATCCCCCTGCCTTAAGGCTGGAGGTGAAGGGGCCCTTCAGGCAGGCAAAAGACACATAAGGAGTTCACACCTGAGGGAAACCTCAAACCTCAATCTCCCATCTCCTCACCTGCAGCCATATGCCAGGTCCCTGGCTGACAAGCAAAAGGTACATTTCTGGTTTCCTGTTAACTCAGGCATCTCAGATGCACAACCTCAAACCTCAACGATAAATTTTAAAAGTTTGGGCCAGAAGTGACCTCTTAGCCAGGAAAACACACACAGACACACACACACACTGAAAAGCTAAGAGCCTTCTTGTTTTATTTCCACAAAGACAGCAAGTAGCAGGTGCACAGAGATGCCTTCCCTGGTACCCAGCAGTCACAGCTGGGTGACCCTGTTGAAAGCTCAGCCCACTGCACAGGACTGTCCCAGGAATCTGGGAGCACAGCTGAGAAAGCCACCCTCCAACTTCTCTCTGGGGGACCCACTGCAGATGGGGTGACAGAGGGGAGGAGGGAGATAATTACCAATATTTAGCTGTGGAACTCTGCACTTAGAGCAGGCTTTAAAAATGGGGTCCTGGAAAAAGCAAAGCAAGCACTGAAATAAGAAGGTTGAGAGGGCAGGAGGAAAGAAAAGCACCCAGCAACACAGATATGTCCGGGAATCACCTCCTCTCTTTCTCCGTGTCATCAACACACACACAACGCCAAAACCCCAGCAAAACGCTCACTTCACGCAGCACGTGTGACAATGTATCTTCATGGACAGATACTGATCAAACCCAGAAACCGATCAAGTCCGGGAAGAAAATAACTTCAACTTCAGACTCATTCAGCAGCGCTGGATTCTTTCACAGCCCCTGTACCTATCTGAGGCGCTTCAAAACAAAACAAAACCAACTCATGCGCAGGAAGGGAACTGCAGCTGTACTGAGTGGCACATGTTCAGAGCTCTGATGACACACACTTTTGATTATTTCTGCTTTCTTGAGATATAACCATCAAGCATGAGCCTCAGAGAGAACCGCCCCTAAAGAGTCACTGACCCTCCTCCCACCCGGACATGCATCCCAGAGCGTGAAATGTACACACAGATGAAGCTCTGCCCACATGTCACTCTGAATACTGCGAAATTCTTCCCTATCATCCAAAGTCTTGCCTACACCTAGTACGTGCATATGTCAAATCCATAGGAGTATATGATGTAAGGGTAGGACCAAAAGCTGAATTTCCTCGTGACCACTTTCGTCGACCTAGTGCGCCCATACACACGATGAGTAAGTACACACAGCCAGCGATCAGCGAGATCCACCATGCTCAGCCCACAGTCACGCGTGGGGAGAAAATCAGTGGAGGGCGGTGGTGGCAAGGGAAATGGAAAGTCGCCCGCCCGCGTGGGTTGTTCTCTGCGCGCCCTGCGCTCCCCTCCCCCGCTCAGGAGAGGTGTCAACCGTGGGCGCAGACCCACGCGGTGGACTCGCGGAGGGTCTCCGTAAGAGCGGACTATGGGACAATGAGGACGCATCGACCATCCAATTTCTGCCGCGGTGACGGTGGCGACGGTAGCAGCAGGAGCCGCCGATGCAGCTGCCACTTCCACCCACTGGTCCCCAGCACCCACTTACGTTCCGAGGGTCTCCTTGAACTCGAAGATCTTCTTGATGTCTTCCGCTTGCTTTTTCCAGGAGGAGCTGCTCTCGCCATTCTCCCGGGCCATGGCAGACTAGTGCTGTAGGGCGGCCGGGGGTTGAGCTGGGGAAGGGGCGCCGGAGGCGCGGCGCGGGAGCCGGGGGATGCCGGGCGCGGGGATGCGGAGCAGGAGGATGCGGAGCGCAGGGAGGCTCGGGCTGCCGCAGAGCTTCCTCTTCGGCAGTTTCCTCTTTCGCCTTGGCTGCTGCCACCGCGGTCCCTCCCTGGCTCTAATTTCTACTGCTCTCCGGCACAGACTTCCTGCCTCTGCCGCCGCCTGCCAGCCTCACTTTCTGCTACTTTCTTGCCTGGCTCCTGCTCCCTCCCCGCCGCCCGCCCCACTCCCCCAGCCCGCCTCCTCCCGCGGGCTCCCCGCCCTCCCAGTGCACCCGGCAGCCTCCCCGCCTCCCGCGAGGCGGCCTTCGGGGATGTCCCGCTCCCCCTCCCCTCCCCAGGAGCGCCGTGCCTTGGGCGCCGAGGTGCAGCACTTGACCACGGAGCCACGCACGCTCCCGGGCCGTCTGCGCACCCTGGGTCCCCGGGCGAGGGCGGGTGGGAGAACCCAGCAGGTGCAGGGCTTTGGAACGCGCGGGGGAGCCCTAGCCTTTAGGGAGCTTTATTATGAAGTCAAGGCTGGGGGCGCCCGGGCTTTCCCTCTTCGAGCAGGAGGGGGCGCCTCTGCTTGGCGCTCGGAAGCTCTCGGCAAGGTGGGGTTGCGCGGCTCACGGATTCGGGGCGCCCAGGGCGGGGCGCCTTCGCACACCCAAGAGCTGGTGACCCAAGCCTGCTATGCAGGAGGGCGGGCGGGGGCCTTGTTGTCAAGGCAATGGGCGGCGGCCTGGATGGAGCCATCGGCGGGCGGGCGTTGACTCCTGGCCCCAGCTTTGCCCCAGCAGGCGCTCCCGGAGCTGGGCAGTCTCCTCCCGACTCGGCTGCTGGAGCTAATTCGCATTGCACCAAAATCGGCTTCACGTCAATTTCGGAGCGGCTAAAGGGAACCTCGGGGTGTACCGGACAGGCACGCCCGAGGCGGGCTAATCACCGCCTGGTGGTCCCTTTGGAAGCAAAACTCCTGGGGTTATTTGGCGGCCAAGTGATGGGTGGATGCGGGATGTAGTGGCTGGCCTGGCCCTGGACTGGAGTGACTGGACTGACTAGTGTTTGAGCCCTTCTGATTTGGTTTTTCTCTCTTTGCTCCTGATACTTTGAGGCTGTGGCCAAAGATTCTATGGAAAGGTAATGTCTGGTGCCTTTCCCTTCCGCCTTCCCCCACCAGCATACCCCGCAGGTGGCAGGTGGCTTACTTAGAAGGTTAAGGTAGAGACAGAGAAACAATTTCCTCAGGCCTCTGGTCTCTAGAGTGAACTTTGACCTGCCCACTCGCTCCAGGTAGTCATTCACCTGTTAGAGGACAGCAGGCAGGGTTTCCAGTTGGTCCTTTGGTCCAACTGGCAGGGACTACCTCTTGATAGGAAATTTCAAGTTTTCTTTGTAGCAAGACTTCCTCTCCCTTAGGGCTGCTCTGCTGAATTGAGTAAACATCCCTGTCTCTTGACTGGGGACACCTGTCCCATTTTCCCAGGACTGTTCCAATTTGAGAGGGGGGGGAGGAGGTGTGAATCTGCTTTCAGAAAAAGAAATCCCCCCCAACAACTCCCTGTTGGTTCTGACTGGCCAGAGGCTCTGGGTTGGAGCTCTTTGGAGACCCCCAAATCCATCTATCCCTGGATTCTTAGTGCTGTCTTTCTTTCTTTGGCCCTTAGTCCTAAGCTCTTGAAGCTGAGAACTGCAGAGAAGAGGGTTCTAACTATTGGTTGTTTAGGAGTGTGACAACCGAGTCGTATGATCATCATGTTAAGTGTACTTTCACAGGCCTGGATGCTGTATACACCCAGCCTATGGGACACACAGACACACACACACACACACACATGCACACAGGCTCATGGTGGTGGGGGTTGGGGAGAAACAGCCTATTGCTCCTAGGACCATAATGAACAAAACATGAAATTAAATCAAGCACAAGACAAAATGATGCAATCGAGAGGCATGGCAAACACAAGATACAAGAGGCATAATCTAGCAAACTGACTTTCAGTCAAGTTTTCTTTCATAATCAGACCTTATGGAAACATATTCTAGAATTTAAAAATCCAACCCAGTAAACAGATAAGGCAGTAAGAGTCGTTTGTCATGAGGCATGATCTACCTAGGGAATGATATCTCTAGTACTTCTAAGCAAAGTACAGCACTGCAGGTCTGTTTACACCACCATCACCACAGACGAATGAGTAATGGGTCACACTGATGTTATGACTGGCTAAGAGGTCACTGGGCCATAGAAATTTTGCAGCTCCATTATAATCTTATGGGATTAATGTCAGAGTACCATTATGCCCACATGACTGTGCTTGCTGTTACAAACCCAGAAGAAAACCTACAAACAATATCTGTGTGTGATGGAGGGGGAGGGGAGAGAACTAAGAAATCTCTCTCAAAGATGGAGATATGCCCAAAGTCGAAAGCATACAGCAACCCCTCCGGTAAGAACTCTATATACACAGGCGTAAAAGCTATGGCATATAGACAAGCAAGCATAAGTCAACAGAGTCCAGCCGACACTTTCCCGTGCCCCTTCTGGGTTGTTTCCTTTCTCTCTCCCTCTCCCTCCCCCTCCCCCCCTCCCCCTCCCTCTCCCTTCCTTCCTGTTTGATCAAAAACAGGCAATTTCACAGGGTCAGTAAAAGTATAAGAAAAGCAGAAATAAGGACCTGGGAGATGGTTCCGTGGATAAAGTACTCACCTAGCACGTGTGAGACCCAAGTTGGATCCTCTAAATCCAGGTGGGTTTCAGTTTGTATTGGTTTTTGTTTTTTTGTTTTTAGCAATAATAATAATAATAAAAAACCAGCTGTGGTGGCAAACACGTGTACTCCCAAGGCTAGGAAGGTGGAGATAAGAGGTAAGAGGATCCTAGAACACAGTGACCAATCAAACATCCAGCCTAGCCTACTTGGTGAATTCTAGGTCAGTAAGAGATCATTAAAAATAATTTTTTAAAAATGAAGTGGATGGTCTATGGGACATGGGAGTGACAACTAAGGTTGTCCTTTATCCTAAACACACACACACACACATGAGTCGTGCCCTTTCCCACCAGGCTACACAAAGCTCCATGAGAGCAAGGCCTGTGACATGAAGGAACTTGCTTTCTTGTCCAAACTCCATAATGACGTTGGTTCATTGACAAAAAGTTCTTTCCATCTGGAGTAGAGGAACAGCTTTCTAATACAGAGCCAGCAAATCACACCCAGGACCACAGATCCAGTGGCCCGTAGAAAATGGGAATGCCAAAGACACATTCATTTGGGCTGTATTATTTTCATTTCTCCCTCACCAGATGCCATGTAAAATAAACAAAAGCTCTTGTTCCTGGAAAGAGCAATTAAACATCAAGCCTTCTGTCCCTTAGGAATGCTTCCGGGGCTGGAGAAATGGCTCAGCAGTTAAGAGCACTGCTGCTCTTCCAAAGGACGAGGGTTTGAGTCCCAGCTCCCACTTGGTGACACAGCTTTGTGTTAACTCCAGTCCTGGGGGGATCTGATGCCCTCTTCTGGCCCCTGTGGGCACTGCATGCATGTGGTACATACGTAGATGCAAACATAACGTTTTTTTTTTTAAAAAAAATAAGCAAATTTAAAAAGAATATTTCAACTTTTTGTTTTTGGTTTTTCAAGACAGGGTTTCTCTGTATAGCTCTGGCTGTCCTGGGACTCACTCTGTAGACCAGGCTGGCCTCGAACTCAGAAATCCACCTGCCTCTGCTTCCCAAGTACTGGGATTAAAGGCGTGCGCCACCACTGCTCGGTGGGAATACTTCAACCTTAACCTTGAAAACACTGTGAATTGTGATTCTATTTATTGGAAGGTCAGACCTTAGACTCTCCTTCGAAGTAGATGCTCATCCCTTCCCGCTTACCACATTTTCTAGCTGAGGAGCTGATAGCTGCCAATCTCTGCGTTTCATCCCTAAGTCTCTTTTCAATAAACTCCAGCCTGTCAATCAACAGATGTTAGCTATTCAACAACTCTATTCCAAAAAGCTTTGGCAGGTTTTCTGAATTGTTTAGGCTTGGGTTCTGCTACAGTCTGAATGGTACAGGTACTTTGAGGACCCATGTTTTTAAAAGCCTTGGCCCGTGTTATGACATTACTGAGAGGGAGTTGAATCTTGGAGGGGTAGAGCCTAATACAAGCTCTTTAGGTCATGGGGGTATGATCCTGAAGAAAACTGTGGGATCCAAGTCTCTTCTCCTACCTCTTAACCAGAGGCAAGTGATTTTAATCTATCACAATATTTATAACGTAATATATGTCCATGGCCAGAGGAGCTGACATGCACAACTGTGATTCGAATAAGCCTTTTATTTCAAGACAGTTACATTTCATTGTTTGTGGGCTTTTCCTTTGTTGTTGTTTGCATGGGTTGGTTTTGACTAGTTGGTTTGTTTTGGGTTTTTTTTTTTTTTTTGCTTGGTTTTTTGGTCCTGGAGACTGAAGCCGGTGCTTAACACATGCCAAGCACAAGCCTTACCACTGAGCTACACCCTTGGCACACCTGGCATTTGTTATAGTTGATGGTACCATGACTAACACAGGTTCAGGATCTTTATATTTCCTTAAATCCCAGGTTCAGGATCTTTATATTTCCTTAAATCCCTTAACATCTGTTTACTTAAAGAGCCCAAGGGAAGGGTGTTTTAATGACCCATCATTAAAGGGTTACTAATTTTACACTCATAAACTCTTTCCATCTAACCCCCAATTTATATGACCCAGGTGGAATACTGAGCAAAGGGTATTGGAGAGGCTGCGCTATCTAAAGCGAATGTGCAGATTATAATTTGAAAGTTGCTAAATTACCTCTCTTCAGACTATTATGCCTAACGTGATAAGACTGTCGGGCAAGCAGGGATGATGGAAAGAACCAGCAATTCAGCAAAGAGGTCCAAGTTCCAGGTATCCCAGTGATTTGTGCATATACTTGAGTGTAATTTAAAACCATTTGTAGGCAGGCCAGTGACACGTCAACTAGGTAGATGATTTTTAGAACACCCACATCAATTCAGGTTTTCATATGGTGACAAGCTTATCCATGGTACTATCTACTTTATCTCTGAAAATGTAGTAAGTTTTGTTCAGATTTTTTTTTTTTG